CTATGGATCAAGATGCAGAACTCTCAGCTCCTCCTCCAGCACCATGTGGACCTGAATGCTACCATGCTCCCCACCATGATGATAATGGACTAGAGCTGTGAAACTGTGAGCCACCCCAATTAAATGGTTTTCTTTATCAGAGTCACCTTGGTTGTAGTGTCTATCCATAGCAACAGAAACCCGAACATACACCGGGCAGTGCTGGTGCACACCTTTAATCCCAGCACTTGGGAGGCAGATACTGGTGGATATTTGTGAGTTCAAGGCCAGCCAGGTCTACAGAGTGAGTTCCAGGACAGCCAGGGCTACACAGAGAACCCTGTCTCAAAAAATAAACCAAAAAGGAAAGAAAAGAAAAAAGGAAAGAAAGAAAGAAAGAAAGAAAGAAAGAAAGAAAGAAAGAAAGAAACCCTAAGGTAGACAAGTGACATTGGGCATTAGGACTTAAACCATGTGAAGGGTGGGGGTACGGTTCAATGCATAAAAACCGATTTAATGCAAAATTTCTCACTTGCTAGTAAATTAACAGGTGTCTGAGATATATATGGGAGAATGTCTATCTACAAGTACACAAACACTGAACTAGCCTAGCAGACAAGTGAGCAGCTTGCTTTGTACTTGATGGGAATGGTGTATAGAATGCATCCACGGTATCCAGAAGAATAGCATTAGGAATGACTAGGCAAATCATCTGCTAGAGTCGGGAAAGTGGGGCAGCAGCATCCTGTTACTCGCAAGCTTTAACCAAGGGAGTAGTGAGAAGCTAGCAAAGTCTTTTGTCAATGCGAACCATTCAGTAGGACTAAGTAGCCATTTGTGAATCCACATTCTTCATAATATCAGCTGGGTCAAAGCTCTACCCGGCTGACTGCACTACCATCACCTAACCTGTCCCATCCTGATTACAGGCTCACAGAAAAATGATAACCATGTCCATTTAACTCGCTCGCTGTGGTATTGTTGAACAGAAGTGTGTTTAAATGCTTTCGATGGTGATGATTATAGAGCAAGATGAAATATAAATGGCTACTGGCAAGTGTCATTGTAACAACTTTTATAACCCCATTATTAAGGAGATTAATATCTTCATATTCCTAAACAAGAGGTAATCACATGTCTAAAGCCTCTTTGCCCCTCACTTATTTTGTTAAAATGCTATTCTCATTTATTTTCCATCTTTTCCTCTTGGTGTGCATTAGTTACTATGGAAACATCAGGATATCAGAGTTTGAGTATCTCAACATTCCCAAGTTCTATTAGAGTATGAAAGAAATTTCTATCATTGTACTGGGGGAGGCAGTTATTGCTGTTACAAATGAAGGCAGGGCAAAAAAATCATATTACCAGACAAGTACAGGCTTTATTCAGACAACACCAGATAATGGTTAGGGTTCATCTTACCTGTTCACACTATATACCTAGACCCAAGTAGGGAATGTAGAGATGGCTCAGTCATTAAGTATATTTGCTGCTCTTACAGAGGATCCAGGTTGGATTCCCAGCATCCATTTTAGGCAGCTTACAACCATCTGCAACTCTAGTTCCAGAAGATCCAGTACCCTCTTTTTTCTCTATGGGCACCTGCAGATTCCCCACTACAGTTATCAATGGGGTCCCCCCAAAATAACATCTATTTATATTTATAACAACATAAGACATCAACCTCATTTTTTTGGGGGGGTTTTTTTTTTTTTTTGGTTTTTCGAGACAGGGTTTCTCTGTAGCTATGGAGCCTGTCATGGAACTCACTTTGTAGACTAGGCTGGCTTTGAACTCACAGAGATCCACCTGCACCTGCCTCCCAAATGCTGGGATTAAAGACATGCACCACCACCACCACCCCGCCAGCCTTGACTCTTTCAAGTCAGAACTTAAGAACAGCTTTAAAAATTAGTTGCAAGAGTTCACTATTATTTCAGTTCTCACATAGACATACATGTATGCACAATAAAATAGATATAGACAAACACCAGTGCACATAAAATAAAAAAAATAAGTCATTTAAAAAAATTAGTTGCCAGGCATGGTCATGCACATCTTTATCCTAACACCCAGAAGGCAGAGACAGGCAGATCCATATGCACGTAAATTCAGCCTGGCCTACTTAGTGAATTCCAGGTTAGCCAGGTCTATATAATGAGATATTCTTTCCAAAGATTAGTGAGGAGTTGAGCCAGGTGCTGGTGGTGCATGCCTTTAATCTTAGCACTCAGGAGGCAGAGGCAGGCAGATCTCTGTGAGTTCGAGGCCAGTCTGGTCTACAAGTGCTAGTTCCAGGACAGGCTCCAAAACTACAGAGAAACCCTATCTCAGGAAAAAAAAAAAAGTTTATGACATCATTAAAACACACAAGTTGGCTTGATAATCCAGAATCTTGTTTCTGTAGCAGGATAAATTAGATCTTATTCACTAGCCTGCTGTACTGTTCCTTGTACAGAAACATAGATGCCATCAAAAATGTTCTGGTTGCCTTGTTTTTTTTTTTATTGTTATAGCTTGCTGAATCAAAGAAGCTGAATTTGAAACAAGTTCAATATTTTTTCTTTCAAGAATTAATGTATCTTTCTGGGCTTGATAAACAGAAAAAGCAACATCTATCCTCATCTGAACCCTACAGATACTTTTTTCATACAAGAAATTTCAACAAGAGATTCATTATCCGGAATAATAATATTGATAGGGAAGTAAGTTTACATGGACCTCACCTTGTAACAGAAGCCCAGTGCACCACAGTTGAATCATAGTCTGTACATGGCCATAGATAGCTAGTTCCTTTCTCTTTGCCTATCATTTGTCAGCCCAGAGCCTCTTCCTTCTCTTTTCAATGAGGCTGAGCTCCATATTGCTATAATTCAAGATCCTCCAGAGGCTTCCTCTGGGGCCCTTCGCCATAACAATGCACCCCTTCAGAGTGGTGATAACAGTTTCTGGAATATCCTCGGTGTGATTGCTGAGAATGGTTTTCATTCTCTCCATAGATCTGGTTAAAAAAAAATAAAGCCGCACTAATCATTTATGAGCATAAATCAATTTCTTCTGGCAGAGGCAGACTTATTTCTGATCAACCATCCCATACCACAATAAATATAGAAGCTGAATAACCAGGCATGGTGGTGCTAACCTGCAATCTCAGAATCCAGGCAGTTGAAATAGAGGATCTGAAATATATGGTAAGGCCTTGTCTCAAGGAAAAAATGCTGGAAAGCACTATAAATATATTGTTTTAACTTGATCACACTGGAGGGCCTCCAAGATATCCAAGGAATTGACAAGCTGAAATTCTGGACCGGAGGGAAATGTAGGCAGGAATGGGTTGAGCCAGATAGAGATCTGGTTACATCTTTGCTTCTAAGCAACTTGCCAGTTTGAAATCTGTGGATGAAATGTTAAAAGCCTGTGAAATGATGATGAAAAACTAACAGTGTCAGAGACTCTTAGAGATGTAAGAGAAATTCCATGAGGAAAATAGAGCTGAGGATCCATGAAGGAAGAGTAATCATAGTAAATACCACAAAAGTCTCAGTCTACCCACTCCCAATCGCTAGAACCTTACCATTGGGATAAGAGTGAATGGGAACTAGATGAGTCTTATGAAAACTGAAGGTCAGTCCCAATCTCTAACCAGATTATGGTGGTCGCTTATCCTTGCTTTGTGTTCTTGCCAAAGGAAGAAAAAATAAATATCATCTAGAAGAAAAGAGTATCAACCAGCAGCAACTCTACATTTTATGCTTTGTTCTACACTCAATTACCAATAATGGGCCATACAAAAAGACAACCACTAGCCAAAATCAAGAGAAAAAGGTCAGGACAATAAACCCTGATATAAAAAAATTCAGATATTAAACTTTTCAATCATAGATTTTAAATAATTACAATTAACATATTCATGACATAAGGGATAACTTCAGCAATGTGTAATTGCTTACATGCTATATTAGTTGCTTCCTATTGCTGTGATAAAACACCATCCTCATTCAAATCTTTACACATTCCAGGCAGTGGTGGTGAACGCCTTTAATCCCAGCACTCGGAGGCAGAGGCAGGCAGATCTCTGTGAGTTCGAGGCCAGCCTGGTCTATAAGACCAGGACAGGCTCCAAAGTTACAGAGAAACCCTGTCTCAAAAAAAAAAAAAAAACCCAAAAATTCAAATCTTCATACATGCAGAAGGATTATATTAAGGAACTGGGTTAAGATTATATTAAGGAACTGGATTTCTTGGTTTCTTACTGTTAATCCATCGAGAAGGCCTAGGAATAGTAACATACTAATAACAATGAGAATACTTGGCACCTAAATTTTGACCTATAAATAACATTCTCCACCCAAAGGAACCAAGAATCTTTGCTGAAAACACTAATTCCAAAGGGTTTAGACACCAAATAAAATGGGCCTGGAACTTCTTTTTGGCCCTAAAAATAAAGAATTGATCAAATAATTATGGGAACATGTAAAAAGACATAGGAGTCAACCTTAAAGGGTTCCTTCTAATAAATTTGAACATCACAATAACAGATAAAAAATATCAAGTAGCTGGGTGGTGGTGGCACACGCACTCAAGAGGCAGAGGTGTGCGAATCTCTGTGAGTTCAAGGCCAGCCTGGTCTACAGAACAAGTTCCAGAAGTTCCAGGACTGGTTCTATAGCTATTGAGAAACCCTGTCTCCAAAAACCAAA